AGAGACAATGGACTTTGGGCAACACAAGAGGACCAAATATGAATTTTTAAATATTTGTCACTTAAGGGACAGCACTTTCTGAGCCTTTGAAAGTTGGATCCCTTAGCCTGGGGGGAGGGGAGCGGGTAGAGATGCTGCTTAACTTGATGTAAGAAAGATTGGACAAAGATTGTAATTTGCTAAAATTAAGTTTGTCACTAGAAAATGTTCTTTGTATTCGTTTTGTTTGTAACCATACCTTTCTTTCCTCTTGCTTAGTGTTACTTAAATCTCTGTTCTTCGTTAATAAACTTATTCTTAGTTTTATTGTAAACCATCTTAGCGCAGTTATTCTTCAATATAAGTGTGAGTCCTCAACTAAACTAACAAACTGGTGTGTGCACTGTCTCTTCGGAGGCTGCAAACTTAACTTCTGTGAGTGTCCAGCGAGAGAGAGTGGATGCTAGAGGGAGACATCTGGGGAACTGGGGTACACTGATTGTTACCTGCAAAGCAAGCATTGGCCTGGAAGAATCTCAAGGAGTTTGGTGTGGCTAGGAGCTGACACACAGTGTAATTGTCTGCAAAGCTCACTTTTGCTGAGGCTCTGGGGTAATACACTGCTTACAGTTCTAGGTGTAGTGAGCAGAATGTCAGTCACATGACCACTACATGCATATCACCTACATCTGCATTTATGGTGCCTCCAGGTCTGGTTCAGCACGGCCTTCACTTTGAGCAGGGGCTCCTTGAACAGGAAGGTCTCACTTCCATAGAACATGCTGACATCCTTCACCTGGTGGGACTTCAAAGAATTTGAGAGAGTTATTTTTATTCCTTCACTACTTACAAAGACACTCATCATAAATATATCTCTAGGACGGGGAGCACATCTTGATGACCAGACAGCCCAAGGTTCCCACGGGAATCCAGGCTGCGTATCAACCTGCTTGAGCTTTGGGCAGTCCACGAGGCTTTCAGAACATTTCTATTTACTCTCTGGTCCATGCACATTCAGGTCAAATCAGACAACATGTCTACTGTCTATTATATTTATATGTGAGCGACAAGGCAGGTGAGGTAATAGCATCTATTGGACCAACTTCTGTTGGAAAGTACAAGCTTGTGAGCATCACAGGCTCTTTGGCTTTCAAGAAGGAAATCGGTGTGTCTGAGCTAAATAAAAGTTGGGCCAGATTCTTAAGCATAAAGGGTTAACACGTGGGGGGGGATCACTTAAAATGAAGCGGGCAATTAAGGGTTAGCAAGCAGTGGGATGTGTCTACAAACTGATCTAATGAGCCATAAAACCTTGGTCTCTGAGTCCATGTTTTTTAGTGTCCAGCAGAGTTATGAATTTAAGTTACCAGGCTCACTTGTTATGCAGGATTTATGCAGGTGTCCTTTTGTGGATGAGTACTGAGAGGTCAGATACAAAGTGATTGTTTGCCCACAGGTGATAGTGTTTTTGTCTTATCATTTTCCTGTGTGAGTTAATTTGAGAGCATAGTGATTATCTGATTTCAGTTGTTGAGGCATTTGATACATTGGATGATATACACCACATGCTGTAATAGGCATCTGTAGAACCCATGAATTTTGAAAGGTGTGTTGGGAGGGTGGGTATTGATCATTGTAGTAGCGGAGATACGTATGCAGGTTTTGCAGCTGTTCTGGTAGGGTCTGGTGCTGGTTTGAGTTTGTGTTCTGGTCGGTGGGGACCTTGCCTCTGAAGATCTTGGTGAGGTTGGGGGAATTTTAGAAGGCCATGTGTGGAGGGATGCTCAGTCTTTACCCATTCCACTACTGCAAGGTTCCTGAAGGATATCATAAGGACATTCCTTCCCGTTCTAAACCATGGCAGCTGAACCTTGTCCTCTCTATAGAGAGCCCTGCGTGGATACAAAAATGTGGATCCGCATCCGATCCAAATCCACAAGAATCAGCTTGTATCCAACCTGTGATCCGCACTCCATCTTGGGAGGAGCATCTGTGTGCAGGCATATGTACTGTATATAGGATCTCAAAGGTGGGGAAGCAGCTGTCTGCAGCTCATAGCCTATGAAGCTGCTGCCCCACCTTTGAGATCCTATATTCTCTCTCCCCTGTATACAGAGAAAGCGGCAGTCATAGGTCAAGACAGGGAGCAAAATCCCCCATGCTCCTGTCCTGGTGGTTTAAGCAGCCAAGCAATTTAGGAAACCTCTCCTGATGTCATTGCCATATCACATCAGTTGTAGAGGGAGACAGCTGCTTCTGCAAAGTAAGTATGCATGCAGAGAGGGAATATAGGATCTGGAAGGTGGGGAAGCAGCCTTCTAGGCTTTGAGCTGCAGACAGCTGCTTTCCCACTTTTTGAGATCCTATAAAGCAGATATCTGCAGATTTGTAGGGTTCTGCCTCTCTGTGCTTATAAGACCACCATTTGAGCCTTTGACCTCCTGTTCTCTTCTTCACCTATTCATGAACGTTGCCTTCCAGACAGTCAATTACCTCCACTAGTGGCGGGCGGAGGGGGAGGGAAGCTTGGGGCCTTTGTAATGGACCTGACAGGCACAGTTTTTCACAAGGACAAAGTGTTTTTGCACCTACATCTCAAATTCATCCCTAAAGTTTTCTGAATTTCACATTAACCAGCCTATTTACCTTCTAGTGTCTTATCCGAAGCCTTACCATGGCATGGAGGCAGGGGTGCCAGAACCATTGTAGAAGGGTGTGTGTGTGTGGGGCCACTAGTGCCAGAACTAGGGGCCTGGGGGCCATGCCCCCCACTTTTTAACATAGGTGTAGTGGGGGGGGGGGACGAGGCAGGGGTACCCCCCCCCCCCCCCCCAG